AATGTAAACATCCAATTAATTGGGCCTCGGACGATGTGAAGGTGAAGAGAAGATATGGGACAAAGATAATTTTAGGAAAAGAAGAAAAAATAGTAACTGTAAATATAGTAAGAGTAAATCGGCTGAGTGTGTAAACAGATCATTCAATGTACATTAAATGAAACTGTAAATTTATTAACTGTAGCATGTCACCATGACGAGAATGACATTTGGATAAATACCCAAAATACACCTGAAATACGGATGCCATTTTCCTAACATACATGTAGTTCTTGCTTCTCGCTTCTTTTCGTCTTACATTGCCGATCTACAGGTGTTTTTTATTTTTATTTACCAAGATTTGCCCAACTTTAATGCAATGCTGAAGGTCGTTATTTTATAAGGGGCACAATAACCCGGTGGCAAAACGTGGGCTCAACCACGATCCACGAACCACAAACGTAGGCCATATCGTATGCTATCGTCAGTTACATTGCATCGTACCGAGTTACCGTAATATATAAGTGATTATTGTCTCTAACAATGGAAGTCAGTCACTCTATGATTTTCTTTCACCGTATTTTCACAGCATACAGTGTGAGCAAACAATTATTAATGTAACCGGGACAGGGATATAGTAATCTTTGAGCTCGGGTCATTTCTTATGAAAACGGAGTGCAGCGTTCGCAGACACTGGCGCATTCCGTTAGTCATGCAGTAGCTCAGTTAATCAACATTTCGGTTAGAACGTATTATCAAAAGCTTGATGCGGGTCGTAGTTGTGTGGTGACGGGGAATCATTAGAGAATATACTCAATTACAACTCACCCGCATTTGTGGAAGTGGTGCATCCCGCGACAAACACCAAAATCGTCAAATATGCCGCAACTCTTCTTAACATCGTATCCTCTGTACTGTGGATTAATAAAAGTGTGTTCCTTCAGAGCATCTAGTAAAGTGAGGTACCTAGCAAGAGAACCACTCCCTATTGGAATGTTCGGCATATAATCGTACTCTATTCATAAAAAGACAATCGACGTTACTTGTTATTTACTGGCCTTGTATCTGTTTATACCGTATTCACCTGCACACAGGTGTTCACGGTGGTTAATTGTGCGCGACGAAACGCGGTACAAAAAGACTACTAATGAAAATGTGTACTGTTACTGCATAATGGGGTTGGGGTTTTAATAAATATTTGGTTCAGTATCGGGTCTTATATTATTTCATCTTCGTAAAAACAAAAATTACTTACTCGAATTTGCGGTAGCATGCTCAATCTGGAAAATAACATCCTGTTTTTGATTCTAGGACACGCAACATGTTAGTTTTCGACGCATTTGCAAAACTCGCTCAATGTCAAACATACTTCATGATCAACATATATACTTTATAAAGACATGTAACGAGTATTTGCAGAATTCGTATAACAAATCGTCACAGACGTCTCACAGCCCTGTGTTCGGCATGGGCTTTACATACATTACGTATATAGCACTGTGAAAAAAAGTTTACACAAAATTTGAACTGCACGATAACTTTGACGCTTTAACGGTCACGTGGTAGCATGACAGGTATCATACATCTAAACAATAATAATTACCAGATTTTCATGTCGCATGTTGTCATTCAAACCACATGTCAGCTATTTCGTCGTGTTCATTTACTGTCTCGTTTTTAGTAATATTTATTCCCATACGTAAGTAGTTCGCGGCGCACTATACGTCTTCGTTAGCAGTACATCTTCTTATAAATCGCGCCCTCTAGTGACATATTCCTTTTGTGACGTCAAAAAATGTACATAAGTGAAAGCGAAGTTTCACAAATCGACCAATGTGTTCTGTAATCAAGCGTCACTTATAAATCTTAATCGTCATTGATGGACGAATACGATATCGCCGCTTGGAACGGCCTTCGTGTCGCCCATCTACGTGTATAAAAGCACTTCGTCGTTTGAGGGCGTGGAATGCTATGATGGTACAAGTATACGATTGTGAAGATACGAAAAGAACCGAGTCCTGGGTTTGTGAGAGATGTTCTTAGGGAAACAACAAGTGGTTTTGAAATGGTGGAGTAATATATGTACCCATCTTGGTCAGCCAATGTCATTGTACGTACATATAAATACTGGGTACTGTCTATTCCGCCAGGCGCTACATGATTCAAATGTGACGTCAGCACATTGGAACGCTGCCAGATGTATAATAATAATTCACATGTTCACATATTGCTATTGTAAGTATTTTTAATGAAGTAGTTGATTCCTTGCCTGATATTGATGGACTTTACAGTCTATAACTCGTTAGTGTGCGACATGTAGGATGGGTGGGGTGCACTCAGGGCTGCTTTGTTCACTTATGGCACAGCTAACGAGAAAGAACGTGGTGTCAAGGGTGTGGTTCTGCCGATGATGCGTATCTTTTTTTATTTGTTTACGGGAAACATAAACAAATGTATATCACCGTTTACTGGGTTTTAGTGCCAGACTTTATGACCACAAATACTGATATGGGAAACACCCGAACTTCTGAATTGTTTGAAAATGTTTAAGAGCGCTTCAGAGTTGAAGTAACAAAACAAACCCAGCTCAAATCAGACACCAACTCACCGTTTCTTGTCTGCAATCGCGATCGAGAAGTAAAACACATTTTTAAAGTGTCAGTGTTTAACGTGATATTTAAAAAAACGAAATTGCAACAAAACAAAATGGTCATTCATTTTGAAATACTAGCAATAGAAATAGAAGCAATGTGTGTGTTCACCAATTGTACATTTGTTGCAACTCTCTGTTGTTACTTGAACTACTAGTATTTAAGAGATTAATTAAGATTGGTAACCAAATCCTCACTCTGGCAAATACATACGGTTCTGGTTATTCTATCAATAGTTGTACAACTCACAGTACAGACGTAATTTTCTTACTCTGTTTCCGTTTGTTTTATAACCTATATTTAAAGATTTATTTGTGGTATATATTTCATTTCTAAAATAATTTTCCTCTGTTCCAATTTTCCAATATAGAACATGACTGAACACTTTGTACGATTATTCTAATATAATTTGTTTTACACTGTAACCTTCCGAAACCGTGATTTTCGGTCGATGTGTTATAAATCAGAGGAAAATGGCACAAAAACGACAGAAACACTGTTTGTCTTACTATAAAATTTATTTCTGACAAGCGTTTCATTACTTTTAAAAATCTCTGACTGTGAGAGGGTAATTTGTCCGGCTGCTCTGTATGTTGGCAAGAGAATGACAGGCCTTACACACATACAATGTCAGTGAGAATCCATCGTTCAGGGCGCAACGTCTGCGTTATACAAGTATATTTTTTAACCAAATCGCAGCACTCAACATAACTTATTATTATTAATTGTTTTTACTTAAAAGAACAGTTTATTCCCTTTCCTCATGTTATGTTACTTCTGCTACTATCGTACATGGTATGGTACATGGTCGGCACATGTCGTATTCGTGTATGTCACGTGTTATGTACGTGCGATTACAGTGTTGTGGTGGTGTTCTGATTGGATGCTAGTGTTGTTTTCTGGACGCTGATTGGTCAGTGGGACCAGTCAAGTAGAAAGTTAATTATCTGAGAAAGAACATAACTACAGTTTACATTTACACGTTATTACACTGCTAAAGATACCTCTGAGTCTACTACTCTAATCTAATCAATCGATGCCCGGAAAAAGGGATAGACCCCCCCCCAGGGGGGGGGGTGTACTTCCATAGAAGTGCAATACGGGTATGTGCCGCCCGACTGGGGTGTCATTTCACGTTATTTTGTTTAGAAGTGGGTGGTCATTTATCAATGTTTTGGTTTAGAAGTGTGTAGTATTCATTTACTGACATTACCTTATATTCAAAGCCAGATACCGGAAATAGCTGAATAAAATGCGTCGCCCGGATGCGCTCACTGGTTGCGGAAGTTGTGAGCTGGGTGTTTGTTTTTTCGCTGAAACACTTGTGTTTAGAAATGGGTATATAAATAGAAAAAAAATGGTTTAGAAGTGAGTATGGTTTACGAGAGTTGGGCTGCACACCCTTACCCACTTAATGTGGAAGTAGCCCCCCCCCCCCCCCGGACAGACCCCGGCCTGGTAAAAATATTAAAGAAGTGGACGAAGAAGGTAAACTCGATCGAGACCCAATCACGATCTTGGATTTCTAAGTTGATTGACGCACATATACGTTGAAAGTTGAGTTCCAACATAAATTTCAGATTATTGTGGCTAAAATGGTTTGTAAATCAAGTTCAAATATTATTGCGCTTAGTACAACACAACATTTGTATAAAAGTTGACTGCTAAAAACATGAAATCGTGCGATTACTATAATGACATGTATCAAAAGTGAAGAAAACGGAGTTTTAATTGTTTTAATTCTTAAATTGTGTCTATCTGGAACTGATTGAAGTAATAAAACCAGATCGTCTATCTGAGAACTATCGTCTGTTAAAACACGCGGTACCTGTGAAAAGACAAATAATAATGGACCAAAAGTCAATGCAAATCATATTACAGTACTGAGCCTAAGAATATTGAACAGGCCGGGTAAACGGGCGGATGGACAAAGTGACACTCTTTGCTATCGAACCCATGCGTCGATACAACACATTTAAACGAAATTCGTTAAATAAATTGACATTACATTACATTGATATGGTAGTAGTACAGCAGTGGAATCATGCATTGCACAAAATGCTTTATCTACCCATGCCGTATCACGATGGTTTTTAAGATGCATTAACAAGGCGGTCACTACGTTATATTTGAAATTTCGTAAATATAAATGCAGCACCCTCAACTTGTGCTCATCAGTGTGATATTAGAGACTCTGACCAGTTTTGCGATAAAAAAAACAAAAAAACAAAAAACAAAACAAAAACTTTTTATCGAACAAATTGCAGTGCGCTGCAATTTCATTTATATATATGTATATCATATCTCGGTAACTATATCAACATATAAAACCCTAACTGCCCGATAACGTATATCAATAATGCCCCTTACCCTCATCACTTTTGAATACAGAACTGGATAAACATGATCACCACATGTAACATAGGGAGTTATAAATTCCAGATCGGTGTCTTCTCTGTTTTCTTCATTCCAAAATGGATTCGTTATTTGCATCCCTCCGTGTGGAGCACGCGACTATACACAATAAATATAAAACATGTTAGCATAATAGGATTTAAAATCAATAGAGTAAACGAATAGGTGCATGTTTTTATTCATATTTCACGACAATTACATTAGTATTAAGGTAAAGTATTTGTAAGTATATTACTATGTTTCAAATAATGTTTTAATTTTCATTTGTTTACTTACATCTACATCTGCCTTTGGAAAACCTTGCAACTGTGTATGTTGTACTTTATGATCATCGTGTTTTTTCGGGTTACTTAATAAGGGCTTGTGTAAATTTCGATATTGTCTTTTGATTTCAAGTTTCTTTGTTTGTCGCAGTAGCTGCTCCTATGGAATAACATTTTACATTAACATACGTCAGTGTACGTAATAACAATCTGCATTCATGTAATAGTAAACTGTGAGTATGTGTGTAATAGCAACCGGTATATCTGCTTAAGTGCGCCATCTTCTGAATCAGGCCCCATGCCCATAAACCTAGCAGCCGTACTCACATATATGACATCATATATATAACGTCATTTCTTCTGCTTAATATATGCAGTTTTATGAGAGCTATGATTATATGGACATGAGTATGCACATATGAATACATATGCCCTCTATATATGTAGAACATGTTTCGTTTATATAAATGTTATAAGAAAAATGAGTTAAGTAAAGATGTAAACAATAACTGATTTTATACATATTTTATGGAACTATGGTATCTAGTGTGTTATTCTCATATTCGGCCTTGTACTTGACAGGTGACATATGTATTACGCAGATCTTACAGAGAAAACTTATCGAACATTTGCGCCACTCTTAAAGCTATGATGCCCTGACAAGTTGCAAGCTAAATTGATATTTCCCTAAATAAATAAATAAA